AAGATCTGAGAAATACAGTAGAATCTCTCAGTAGCAAAATGGAGCAATGAGAACAAAGGATTTCTGACATTGAAGACAAAGCTTTTGAACACTCCAAAGTGCTCAAAGGGAAGAGAAATGGAGAGCAAAAACAGATCTCACTCTCAGAGAGCTCTCAGATAATTCGAAGAAAACTAATATTTGCCTTATAGGAATCCCCGAAGGCAATAAAGTTGCTTAACAAAACACAGAGGCTCTTCTTCATGAAATTATGAAAGAGAACTTTCCAGACATGCCAAGAGATTCTGAAATTCAGATAGCAGATAGTTTCAGAACTCCAGCAAGACTCAACATAAATAAGACATCCTCCAGGCACATCATAATTAACTTCACTAAAGTTATAATGAAGGAGAAAATTCTGAAAGCAGCTAGACGTAACAAAACCATAACCTACAAGAGGAAGAGTATTAGAATGACTGCAGATCTCTCTGCTGAAACCTTTCAGGCTAGAAGAGGGTGGTCATCAAATTTAATCTCCTAAAACAAAATAACTTTAAACCCAGGATCCTGTATCCAGCTAAACTGAGTTTCATTTATGATGGAGAAATTAAATACTTTAATGACATTCACTTGTTGAGGAAATTTGCCATAACTAAACCAGCCATCCAGGAAATTCTCATTATCCTCCATAATGACCAGTGCAATCCTCCACCACAAAAGTAAACTCACTCAGAAAGTTTTGATCAAATTCTAACTTCCACAGTGGCGAAAAGATTAAAAATGTCCACTGGACTTTCAAAAAACTTGATACACAAAATTTTACCAGGCTTATCAATATTCTCAATTAATGTGAATGGCTTAAATTGTCCTCTAAAGAGGCATGGGTTGGCTGACTGGATACAAAAACTCACCCAGGCCAGATATCTGCTGCTTTCAAGAATTTCATCTTACCTTAAAAGATAAATATAGACTCAGGGTGAAGGGATGGTCATCTATATTCCAGGCAAATGGAAAGCAGAAAAAGTAGGTACTGCAATTTTATTCGTAGACACAATAGGCTTTAAACCAACAAAAGTAAGCAAGGATAAGAATGATTACTTTATATTTGTTAAGGGTAATACTTTATATGATGAGATTTCAATTATTAATACTTATGCACCCAACAAGAATGCACCTCAATTTATAAGAGAGACTCTAACAGGCATGAGCAACTTGATTTCTTCCAACTCCATTATAGTCATAGATTTTAACACTCCTTTGGCAGTGTTGGATAGATCCTCCAATAAGAAGTTGAGTGAAGAAATTTTAGATTTAAACTTAACCATCCAACATTTGGATTTAATAGACATCTACAGAACATTTCATCCTAACAAAACTAAATAAAAATTTTTCTCATAAGTATACGGAACATACTCTAAAATCCATCACATCTTAAGTCACAAGTCTAACCTCAGCAAATGTAAAAGAATAGAAATTATTCCTTGCATCTTCTTAGACCATGATGGAATAAAAGTCGAACTCAGTAACAATAGGAATCTGCAGATACAAAAACATGTAAGTTAAATAATCTTATGCTAAATGATAGATGGGTCAGAGACGAGATCAAGAAGGAAATTACCAAATTTTTGGAACAAAATGAAGATGAAAACATAAATTATCAGAACCTCTGGGATACCACAAAGGCAGTCCTAAGAGGGAAATTTACAGCACTGCAAGCATTCTGCAAGAGAACAGAAAGAGAAGACATTAACAACTTAATGGGACATCTCAAGCAGCTGGAAAGGAAGAACATTCCAATCCCAAATCTAGCAGAAGAAAAGAAATAACAAAAATTAGAGCAGAATTAAATGAAATTGAAAACAAAAGGATTATACAACAGTTTAATAAATTGAAAAGTTGGTTTTTTGAAAAAGTCAATAAAATAGATAAACCTTTGGCCAACCTAACCAAGAAAAAAAGAGTAAAATTGCTAATTTCATCAATCAGAAACAGTAAAGATGAAATAACAACAGACTCTTTAGAAATTCAAAAAATCTTTAATGAATAATGCAAGAAACTTTATTCCCAGAAGTATGAAAATCTAAAGGAACTCAACCAATACTTGGAAGCACGCAACCTTCGGAGACTTAGGCAGAAAGAAGTGGAAATGTTGAACAGGCCTATATCAAGTTCTGAAATAGCATCAACTATACAAAATCTCCCTAAAAAGAAAAGCCCAGGACCAGACAGCTTCATGTCAGAATTCTACCAAACCTTTCAAGAGGAGCTAGTAACTATATTATTCAACCTTTTCCAAAATATAGAAAAAGAAGAAATACTACCCAACACATTCAATGAAGCAAACATCACCTTGATAGCCAAACCAGGAAAAGACCCAACAAGAAAAGAAAATTATAAACCAGTATCACTGATGAATATTGATGCAAAACTATCAACAAAATCCTAACAAAAGGAATTCAGCAACACATCAAACAAATTATACACCACAACCAAGTAGGTTTTATCCCAGGGTCCCAAGACTGGTTCAACATATATAAATCTATAATTATAATTCATCACATAAACAAATTAAAAAACAAAGACCATATGATTCTCTCAATTGATGCAGAAAAAGCTTTTGATCATATCCAGAATCCTTTCATGATCAGAACACTTAAGAAAATTGATAAAAGGAACAATTCTTAAACTGATAGAGGCCATCTACAGCAAACTTACAGCCAATATCACATTGAATGGAGTTAAACTGAAATCATTTCCACTCAGATCAGGAATCAGTAAGGTTGCGCATTGTCACCACTGCTCTTTAACATTGTAATGGAAGTTTTAGCCATCGCAATTAGGGATGAAAAGGCAATCAAGGGTATCCATATAGGGTCTGAAGAGATCAAACTTTCACTCTTCACGAATGATATGATTGTATATCTGGAAAACACCAAGTATTCTACTACAAAACTCTTAGAAGTGACCAGGGAATACAGCAGTGTCTCAGGCTACAAAATCAACAGTTATAAATCAGTAGCCTTTAAATATACCAACAATAGAAAACAGTCAAGGACTCTATTCCATTCACAGTAGTGCCAAAGATGAAATATTTGGGGGTTTACCTCACAAAGGATGTGAAAGTTTTCTATAAAGAGAACTATGAAACTCTAAGAAAGAGAAATAGCTGAAGATGTTAACAAATGGAAAAAACATACCATGCTCATGGCTGAGAAGAATCAGCATTGTTAAAATGTCCATACTACCCAAAGCAATATACAATTTTAATGCAATCCCTATTAAAGCTCCACTGCCATACTTTAAAGATCTCAAAAAATAATACTTCATTTTATACAGAATCAGAAAAAATCTCGAATAGCCAAGACATTACTCAGAAATAGAAACAAAGAAGGAGGAATCATGCTATCAGACCTCAGACTATACTATAAATTGATAGTGATCAAAACAGTATGGTACTGGCAAAAAAACAGAGAGGTACATGTATGGAACAGAATAGAGAGCCAACAGATGAATCCAGCTACCTACCATTACCTGATCTTTGGCAAACCAATTAAAAACATTGAGTGGGGAAAAGATTCCCTATTTAACAAATGGTGCTGCGAGAACTGGCTAGCAACCTGTAGAAGACTGAAACTGGACCCACACCTTTCACCATTAACTAAGATAGATGCTCACTAGATTAAAGATTTAAACTTAAGACATGAAACTATAAAAATACTAGAAGAAAGTGTAGGGGAAACAATTGAAGAAGTCAGCCTGGGTGAATATTTCATGAGGAGGACCCCTCGGGCAATTGAAGCAATATCAAAAATATACTACTGGGACCTGATCAAACTAAAAAACTTCTACACAGCCAAGAACACAGTAAGTAAAGCAAGCAGACATCCCTTGGAATGGGAGAAGATATTTTCAGGTTATGTCTCTGACAAAGGTTTAATAACCAGAATCCACAGAGAACTCAAACGTATTAGCAAGAAAATAACAAGTGATCCCATGTCAGGGTGGGCAAGAGACTTGAAGAGAAACTTCTCTGAAGAAGACAGGCACATGGCCTACCGACATATGAAAAAATCGTCATCATCCTTACTCATCAGAGAAACGCAAGTCAAAACTACTTTAAGATATCATCTAACTCCAGTAAGATTATCTCACATCACAAAATCCCAAATCCAGAGATGCTGGCATGGATGTGGAGAAATGGGAACGCTTCTACACTGCTGGTGGCAATGCAAACTAATATGTTCCCTTTGGAAAGCTGTTTGGAGAACACTTAGAGAACCAAAAATAGACCTGCCATTTGATCCTACAATTCTTCCACTAGGTATATATCGAGAAGACCAAAAATCACACTACAACAAAAATATTTGTACCAGAATATTTATTGCAGCCCAATTCATAATGGCTAAGTCATGGAAGAAGCCCAAGGGCCCATCAACCTACGAATGGATCAATAAATTGTGGCAGATGTACCCTATGGAATATTATGCAGCCTTAAAGAAAGATGGAGACTTTACCTCCTTCATGGTTACATGGATGTAGCTGGAACATATTCTTCTTAGCAAAGTATGTCAAGATTGGAAGAAAAAGTATCCAATGTACTCATCCCTACTGTGAAACTAATCTATAGCTTTCATATGAACACTATAACCTAATTATAGCCCAAGAATATTAGGAAATGGGAGAGAGAGGGGAAGGGAGGGGGGAGGATGAGTGGAGGGAGGGTGTTTGGTGAGACCACATCAAAGGTTCATCTTACAAGGGTACATGGAATCTTTCTAAATGTAGAATATAAATGTCTTAACACAATAAGAGGATGCCATGAAGACTATGTTAACCAGTTTGATGAAAGTATTTCAAATTGTATATGAAATCAGCACACTGTACCCCATGACTTCATTAATGTACACAGCTATGATTTAATTTAAAAAAAAAGAAACTAAATTTTTTTCTATCAAATAAGAAAGAACAGCATAAACAAATGCATGCCCACATATGTGTTCATGCACACACACATTCTTCACCTGATCTGTGCACCAGTACCACAGAGCTGTAATGGGTGCTCCAAATATCATTCCTGGCCATGGAATATCTGCTGTGGCAGGATCTCGGAATAAGTGGAAGGAGTCTGCCCGAGGAGTGTAGCAGCTGGCGTTGATTGTCAGGTTGTCCCCCTCAACTATGGACGGGATGGCATTCATGTAGTTCTCTGTAAAATTCTCATAACCTCCAACTTCAACAAATGCTGAAATGGCATCAGATGAAATGAAATGTCTTACTGAAATCCAACATACCTAATGTTTGGGGTCCCTGCTTTGTGGTGGAGATGCATAAACGCTTTCCATCAGCCTAGTCAAATCTGCACTGACCTTCTCCCAGGATTCCTGTCATTCTAGCACCTCCCCTGGCAGTGGGCATGGTACCAGATTGACTGTCACAAAGTTCATAATGCAGACAACTCTATCTTTTCTCCCTAGAGTGCTCTTTAGAATTTTAAGTTAATGTCTTACATTCAGGTAAAAATGAGACTATAACCAGCAGGCTGACATTGATGTCTAACAATCATCCAGAGCAGAAACAATCCAGAAGTTGAGCTAGCAAAGTGAGCCTAGTGAAATTAGCCATCAGAGAGCCCCAATTCCTCTGAAAGGAAGAGGAAGCAAGCAATGGCTTCTCTTCCTGACTCAGAGCTGTGCTATTCAGACCTCACTTGCAATCTGACTGCCTCATACTACATTCTGCCTGTTATAACAGAAAAAAAAAAAAAGCTGGAAAGATAAGAAGTAGAAATTGGAGGCAGCAGTTTGGATTTGCTAAGGGAAAATGGGGAGACTCAGCCCAGTAGGAATCTGGAAAGGCTAATCAGGTGCCACAAAAGAATTATAGTTGATCTTATAAAGATGAGCCCAGGCATGTGTGGTCACTAAGTCTATGTTTACATGATGCAAAATTCAACTAAGTAGCACACACTGGTAGAGTTGTATTGGCATTAATTTACTTCTTCATTATTTAAATGAGGACCTACTATATGCCACACACTGTGCCGGGATCATGGGCAAAATGAATGTTTAAGGCAGGAACTCAGCCTATTGATGGATATAGAACTCTGCAAGAAAATTGCTTTGATCAGATAAATACTGTTTATAACAAAAACACATGGGAGACGTAAGAGTTAAGAGTCCTCCCTCCTCATCTGCAGGATGGGAGAAGTGAGTCTTAGAGAGACTGACATCAGGGTGTGAATCACAGAGACCAGAAACAATAAAACCATGAAGAAGAGCAACATAGAAGTTTCTGGATAACTGAAGAGAAAGTGCATGAGAAACTGTTGCTTGCAGTTGTCTCTGGAGCAGCACTGTGCAACAGAAACTTCCTGCAGTAATGGAACTATTCTATATCCCCAATGTCCAACATGGTATCCACTAGCCACATATGAAACACCTCAAATACGGCTAGGTAAGTGATAAGTTTGATTTTTAATTTCAGTTTAAATAGCCAAATGTGACTAATGGCATCCATATTGTGTTCTGATCACTATAGTGGATTTGCTATTTTCTCATTTCCTTCCATTTTTGCCTCGTGTATCTTCAGATTCTGTGATTAGGAGCATGCATAGTCAAGACAGCTGTACTTAGTGCAGCCTGAGTGGGTGGACTATGGTAGCTACAGGATAGGGAAGAGACATGTATTTCCACTTACACACTTATTACTACGTGCAAGAATTTCCTGTGGAAAGATAAATGAATGCCACAAAAGGAAATAAGAATTAGCAAGCTATGAATTAAATTCATCATTATCACTTATGGGCATGGCTTAATGAACAGAATGAACCAACAGATGATATTATTAGTAAGTAAGAGTCATTAAGGAAAATCCAACCCATGTTTATATATTTTACAATAGTTAGAGTAGTGCAATTCAATATATATCCTTTCAAAATAGTAATCATGAGTTACTATTCAATTCTCTGAATTGTTTCTAGGATTTAACTCTTCATTTCATAAAGAGAAGACTTTTTTTTTAAAATGTCCAGGGTTTGAATCCAATATTTCTGTCAAGTTATCAACCTGATGGTACTGATTTTTTCTTTTGTGAACACAAAGAAATTAGTGTTAAACAAGGTAACTTACCTAAACAATAAGTTTTTAGAAGAAGTGAAATTCTTCCCCATTTCTTCATGTTGAGATAATATACCAAGAAAGAAGTTGGACAGACAACCCAATGATGGGAATTATATAAAGAACATGAAAATGTGACCTGGGAGAATGCAGTAAAGAGCAGACAGACTGAGCAGGAACAAGTCCCAGGATTATCTGACCCTTGGTACTGCACAACCTGTCTTCACTTACCAAAACCCATGAGAATGAAAGATCCAATCAACATAATGAAGGCTTGGAAGGTGTCTGTGTAAATCACTGAGGCCAAGCCCCCTGTTGAGAGAAAGAAAAAAAAAAAAAAACTCAGGGGATTTTACCCATGTGTATTCATTATTTGCCTTTACCTCTAGGTTTTCTTCCACCCAAACCCCAGTAATGACTCAGTAGAAAACATAGCAAAAGCTCCTCACTGACATGGGGGAAAACTGCAAGCTCTTTTTGGCATCATCTCCTCAGTATTAGTGTCTTTCTTTTATTCTCCTGTTTCCCTTGCTTCATTGTGATACAAAATTTCTATGAATAACAGTGTAGTTCTATCTTTGTAGGAGTTTTGAATATTAAGTAGGGAAAAAGCAAAATTATAATACCATGAAATTCACCCTTAATGATTTCTCAATTCACTTCCTTTAAGCACAATGTACCTGCTCTTAAAAAATAAAAAAATAAAAACCTAGAGAATTTAAGAACAAGATGGCCAACTAGAGGCAGCTTTCATCTGGAAATCTTGGCCAGAAGGAAGAAAATTGTACTTAAGTGAATTTAAAGCAGTTGAAATTGGTGGTGCATGAGGGGAGAGGTTAGGTGATAGGGAGAAGAAATTAAGGCATTCAGCAACACCACTAAGACAAACTACAAGATGAAAAAGAGGAAAGAAGAAAGCAGAGGACAGTTACAGAGTGAACCAGACTCAGAGGAGCCAGAGCTGAATAGAGAGATAAGGGACCCCTTCTTCCACTAGGGGTTCTCCAGGAGCAGTGGACCACAGGAACTCTCACCCACTCCATGGGACAGTGCTACAAGGGACAAAAGACACAGCTTTCTGAACTTAGGTGTATCCTCTTCTGGGTCCCCCTTGTGTCTGGCAGAATAGTGAGCAATTTTAGCTCCTAGAGGTTGTGGCCACAATTCATCCTCCCTTTTCTTTGGTTACTAGACAGAATACTCCCTGTTGGGGCATGCTTCCCTCTGCATAGGGGTGTGGAGATGCTACCCAGCCCACACAGCCTGGAAAAGCTGTCCCACCCCCAGTCACCAGCAAGGGGAAGGGACTTTGGACCCTACCCAACCACCATAGTGACCTTGGAAGCAAGTGTTACAGAGGCTGGTTCATCTGTCACTGGAAGCCTGTGAGAATGACTTGCAGACATTAAAAGTGAGGGAGATGGGCCCTGCCTTACCACCATATGTAACAGCAGCTCAGGAGGCCTGTGCATTGTGTTGCCCAGTGATCTGGGAGAGCCCCACTGCCTCCTTGCCCTGCACAGGAGGGAAACTGTGGCTCAACTAGTCTGTCTCCTGCTAGGTGGGATCTATCCCCACCTTATGGGGTGGTTCAACCACCACCTGTGCACATCCCCCAACCTCAGGGCATCTCCTGAAAGTTCAGCCTACAGCCTTCTGCCCCTAGTGGCTTGGAGAAGGGTGGGCCTGGTCTCAATTGATCCCACTCTGTGGAATCCTGGGAGGCAAACTGCAAGCTGCATATTTCTCTCTCCATAGTTTTTTACTCTGTTGCTGGTAGGGATAACACTTTGGCTGGGACAATTGACTCACTAGCCATGAGTCACCCTTGGTCTAGGAACATCACCTGGAGGTCCTGCCCCCAGCCCCACCCTACCCAGATTAGAGAAAACAAGGCTGGTCCACAGGGACCCACACACAGCATACCCTGGAAAGGAAACTTTGGGAGGTTGTATTCTGGAAGGGCCATAGTAAAAGGCAGTGGTTCATTTAAATAGTCAGTGGTGAAAGGGAGTGGTGAGTTCCATCATCCAGCCTCTGGATCTGATTCTAGCCTGCCAGTTTTAGTTTCCAAACGATGGTATAACCCTGCTGAGTAGGTCAGCATAACAACAAACTGTTATCCCTTTCACAGGCCCTGAAAGAGGCATGATGAATTCCACATCCCAGGGCCATTGAAACTGATATCGGCCAATTTGTTTTATTATCCAAATGGCCCCAAAACCCTGCTGAGCAGGCTAACTGTGCAGCAAGTAGCTACTTTGCTCTGGCATACACTGGAAGTGATAGAGCAAGCTTTATATCCCAGGACTTCTTGTGGTGCCTATGAAGTTGATACCAATCTAATGGATCAGGAGGCCAAATGGCCTTAATGCCCACTGGAATGAGGAGCTGCTGTTTGTACCTGGAAAGTCCTAGAAGGGGTGAGGAGAGCTCTGCACTTTAGGACAGTTAGTGCTATCACCAGCCCACCCGACTTGATATCCAGAAAGCCTCAGAGCTAGTAAAACAGCACTACTGGTGGCAGATAGATGCTGTAGGTGGTCAGGCCAGGTTCTGCCTTCCAGACCTCAATTGCCTTCTGGGAGCTGCCTCAGGGAACCCAACTAGAATATCTCTCAAGAACAATTTAGGGACACCTTAACATTCTACCTTAAAATTTTTTTAATTAATTAATTTAAAACACACATGGGGAGGAATCAGCCAAAGAACCTTGGCAACAGGAATAAACAGACCAGATCAACTCCCCCAAGAGATTACAAGGGAGCTACAGCTGAAAATACCAGCCATAGAGAAATTGTCAAAATGACAGAAATAGAATTCATAGTATATACAGAAAAAGAATTTCAAAAGAAGGCAAAAACTATGTCAAGAAATATATGAAACTAAAAATAAATCATAACTAGGAAGGATAAAGCAGAGCTTAAGGAATTGAAAAACACATTAAAAGAGTTTCAAGCCTTGGTGCCTGTGGCTCAAGTGGCTAAGACGCCAGCTACATACACCTAAGGTGGCGAGTTCAAATCCAGCCGGGGCCCGCCAAACAACAATGACAGTTGCAACCAAAAAATAGCCAGGCATTGTGGCGGGCACCTGTGGTCCCAGCTACTTGAGAGGCTGAGGCACTCACTTGAGCCCAGGACTTGGAAGTTGCTGTGAGCTGTGATGCCATGGCACTCTACCCAGCTTGAGACTCTGTCTCAAAAAAAGAGTTTCAAAACATGGTAGACCATCCCAGCAGTAGAGTAGAACATGGAGAAAAAGGAATCTCAGAACTTGAAGATAAGACTTTCAAACTAATCCAATACTTCAGAGGCAGAAAAGAAGAGAGCAAAAGCAGAGATATAGGACTACAAAAAATGTGCGAACTTCTAAATCATAGGGATCACTGATGAAAAAGAAAAGAGTCCTAAAAACATGGAAGTTCTACTACAAGGCACCATTGTGGAAAATTTCCTAAGCATTGCAAGAGACCCAGAAATAGAGATACTAGATAGTTTCAGAACCCCAGGATGACTCAGTTCAAACAAATCACCTCTAGAAACATTGTAATTGACTTGGTCCAAGTCAAAATGAAAGAGAAAATGCTGTAAGCAGCAAGGCATAAGCATCTTACCTGCAAAAGAGAAAATAGAGTGATAGAGGACTTTTCCGCAGAAACTTAACAAGCCAAAAGACAGTAGTCACCTGTCCTTAACTTTCTTAAACAAAGCAACTTTCAGCGAAGGATTCTATGGCCTGCTAAACTAAATTTCATATTCAATGGGAAAATCAAATCTTTTACAGACAAGCAAACATTTAGGAAATTCACCACTACTAAACCAGCTTTGCAGGACATACTCAGACCCATTTGATGCACTGACAATCACAATGAACAATCAGCAAAGTAAAAATAGATTGAAACTAAAGGACTAAACCTAGCTCCCACAATGGCCCAAGTGAAAAAACTAAGCAATGGATCTCCACAAAATGAGTCAAGTAGAATTCCACCATACTTATCAACTGTCTCAAAAAATGTAAATAGCTTAAATTCTCTCACTGAAGAGGCACAGGCTAGATAACTGGATAAAAATTCACAAGCCAACTATACACTGTATTCAGAAAACACATATACCTCCAAGGACAAACAAGAATGATGGTGAAGAGTTGGAAAACAATATTTCAGAAAAATGGAAATCAGAAGAAAGGAGCGGTGGCCATCTTATTTGTAGATACATTTCACTTAAATCAACAAAGTAAAGAAAGATAAAGATGGTCACTGTATACTGATCAAGGGAATAATACAACAAGAAGATATTTCAATCTTAAATAAATATTCACTCAAATTAAGTGTTCCCAGATATATAAAATGAACCCAAACTGGTTTGAACAACATGATATCCTGCAACACCATAACAATTGAAGACTTCAACAACCTACCAACAGAATTGGACAGATCCTCTAAGCAAAAACTAAGCAAAAAAGTGATGGACTTAAACACAAATTTAGAACAAATGGGATTAGCAGACATGTACAGAATTTTCACCCAAGCAATACTGGGTATATGTTCTGGTTGTCAACTCATGGACCATTTTCCAAAATTGATCATATCTTAAGGCAAAAATCAAATCTCAACAAATTTTAAGGAATAGAGATTATACCCTGCATCATTTCAGACAATAATTGAATAAAAGTAGAATTAAACTCCAAAAAAACCCTTCATTCCCCACACAAAGTCATGGAAACTAAACAATTTACACTGAATGACAACTGGGTCAAGGAGGAGAAAAAGAAGGAAATCATTAAATTTCCCCCCCCCAAAAAAAATGGCAATGAAACCACCATCTATCAAAACCTGTGGGATACTGCAAAAGCAGTCCTAAGAGGAAAATTTATTGTATTAAATGCCCACAGCTAAAACCAAAGTATGAATCAACAACCTAATGAACCATCTAGAGGAACTGGAAGAAGAGCAATCCAATTCCAAGCCCAGCAGAAGAAAAGAAATACCAAAATCAGATCACAATTAAATAAAAATGAGAACAAAAGAAACATTTGGAATATTAGCAAAACAAAAAGTTGTTTTTCTGAAAAGATTAATAAAATTGATAAACCCTTCGCCAGATTAACTAGAAACAGAAAAGTAAGATCTCTAATAACCTCAATGATAAACAAGAAAGGGGAAATAGCAACAGACACCACAGATATACAAAAGATCAATACTGATTAATACAAAAAACTCTATGCCCAGATATATGAAAATGGGGAGAAAATGGACCAATATCTGGAATCACACAACCTCCTTATACTTAATCAGAAGAATTAAAACTCTTGAACAGACCAGTATCAAGCACTGAAATCACAACAGTAAAAAGCAACCGACAAAAAAAACCCTGTACCAGAATGTTTCACACCAGAATTCTACTAAACTTTGAAAGAAAAGATGGTACCAATATTCCAGAATCTATGCCAAAACACTGACAAGGAAGGAACCCTCTCCATCTCCTTCTCCAAAGCAAATATCACCTTGATATCAAAACCAGGAAAGGATAAAAAAAAAGCAATCTACAATCAATATCATTAATGAATACACAAAAATACTCAATAAAATCTCAGCAAATAGAATACAGCTACATATTTTAAAAATATACATCATGAAGAAGTGGGTTTTATAGCAGGGATGCAAGGCTTGTTCAACATACACAAATCCATATACACAACTCACCATATAAAAGAAGCAAAAATAACGGTCATATGATACTCTCAAAAGATACAGAAAAAGCATTTGACAAATTCAGCATATTTTTCTGACAAGAACACTTGCAAAAATAGGTATAAATGGTCATTTCTTAAATTGATAGAAGCCATTTATGACCAACTCACAGGCAACATCATATTGAATGGAATAAAATGGAAAGCATTTCCATTTAGAACTAGAACCAGACAAAAACGCCCACTATCACCACTGCTATTTCTGCATAGTAGTGCTGGAAGTCCTAACCAATGTGATCAGGCAAGAGAGGGATGTCAAGAGTATGCAGATAGGGTCAGTGGGGTCAAACTTTCACTCTATGCTGATGATATGACCCTACACTTAGAAAACCCCCAGGGACTCAGCCATGAGATTCACAGAAGTGATCGAGAATTACAGTATATCTCACAATATAAAATCAACGTCCACAAATCAGACTTCATATTTGCCAACAACAGTCAAGGTCAGAATCAAATCAAAGACACAATTCTCTTCAATATAGTTTCAAAGAAAGTAAAATTCCTTGCAATATACCTAACAAAGTATATGAAGGATCTCTACAGAAAAAACTACGAAACCCTGAGAAAAGAAACAGCAAAAGATGTCAAGAAATGGAAAAACATACCATGTTTATGGCTGGGAAGAATCAACATTATTAAAATATCCACAGTACTCAAAGCTATCTACAGACTTAATGCAATACCTATTAAAACACCAATGTCATAACTTTGAAGAACTTGATGAAAATAGTTCTTAATTTTATATGGAACTGGGGAAAAAACATGAATAGCCAAAAGAATTCTAAGAAATAAAAACAAATATGGAGGCATCATGCTGCCAGACTTCACGTTATGATACAAGTCTATAGTGATCAAAACAGCATGATTTGGGCACAAAAATAGAGACATATGGTAAATAACAGAGAACCTAGAGATGAAACCAGCCATGTATTGGCATCTGGTCTTCAACAAACCAAACAAATGAATACACTGGAGAACTGGTATTAAACACTGCACTGTTTAATAAATGGTGCAGGGAGAACTGGGTAGCCACCTGTAAAAAACTGAACCTTGTCCCATATCACTTACAAAAATTTACTCATACTGGAGAAATATTTAAATCTAAAACACAAAATGATGAAAACTCTGGATGAAAGTGTGGGAAAAACTTGACCATATCAACCTGGGAAAATATTTTATAAAGAAGACCCTATTAGAAATTGCAGCAATTCCAAAAATAAATAAACAGGACTTAATCAAGCTAAAAAGCTTCTGCACATCTGAGGGCACAACAACTTCACACAGACAACCTTCATAATAGGAACAGATATCTGCATGTTATGAATATGATAAAGGTCTAATAACCAGAATCTACAGATAAATCAAACAAATTATCAAGAAAACACCAAATAGCACCATTTGTCATTGGGCAAGAGACATGATCAGAACCTTGTCCCAAGAAGATAGACAAGTGGTGAACAAACACATAAAAATGTACTTGTCATCCCTAATCACCAGAGAAATGAAAATCAAAACCACTCTGCAACCTCAGCAAGAGTAGCTACAGATGGGTGTGGAGAGAAGGGGACATTTACACATTGTTGGTGGGATTGCAGACTAATATAGCCTTTTTGGAAAGAAATATAAGGAATCCTTAAAGAGCTGAAAATAGACTTTCCATTTGATCCTGCAATCCCATTGCTAAGTATCTGCCCCAGAAGAAAAAGTCATTTTACCATAAGGACATTTACACTCCAATGTTCATAGCAGCTCAATTCACAGTTGCAAAGATGTAAAAGTAACCCTTGTGCCCATCCACCCATAAGTAGATAAATAGACTATAGTATATGTATACCATGGAATAATATTCAGCCATACAGAAAGATGGAGACCTTAATTTTTTTTTTTTTTTTTTTTTTGGTATTTACTTGTAAGAATTTGGAGAACATCTTCCTAAGTAAAGTATCACAAGAATGGAAAACCAAGCACCCAGTGTACTCAATATTAATATGAAACTACTAGATAAACAAAAACATACCCACACGAGAGAAAAATACATTTAAACTCAAAAATGGGGGAGGGAGAGGCAGTAGCTCTCATCTCTCAGGTACAATGTAGAGGTATATGGAACACCTAACAAATGCAAACAATATAACCCAATTGTATGCATCCTTGTATTAATTTGAAATAAAAGAAAAACCAAATAAAACCATTGTGCTTAGCTTCTTAGTGTTGGTATGTATCATTGTTAGTTGTGCGAAAACCTTTCTCTTTCAATTCTAAACTTACCAGACTCTAACCAACATGATAGTTCTTTTATGAGAGTGTCATGAGGTAACAAGACTGATTGTCAAAACAAGAAATTCATATTCTTGTCTTTTACTTATTGTGTAACATATGCTCTGTAAAAGTTGGCTGTATAAAAATAGAGTGATTTATGTCAAACCCTAACAAAATGGAGCCAGGAGGCCATGAATATGGGGCTTTCATGCACCTATGCCTATAACAGGAACAGTTACAAGAGATTATTCCACCTGGAACTTTCAAGCTAAGCAGCTCCTATGAAGATCCTCTTCTAGCTACATCCAGTACCACCAATGACCAAGTGCCATTGCCAACAATAAGCCCCTGCAACCAATGATCTTTTTTCTAAACAATTTATGTGGATACTCTCTCTGTGTCTTTAAAAGCTTCCTATTGCCTCGACTCCCCTGGATGTGCCTAGAGTCTGCAGGAGTGTACATATTCCAGATTGCTATTATCCACATAAACCTTTGGTTTGTGGAAGTTAGTCTTTCTGTCACTTACTTTAGATTAACAGCTCAATGTATGAAAATGGCTCCAGAACTGTCTTGATTGTTCTAGCAGCTATTTTCCTTACTATTTTTCTGACTCAGCTGGTGTACTTCTATTTTTGTAAGTTAGAATATACATGAGGCCCTACACTGATACCTGGTTAATGAGAGCCTGTTTGGACCATAGCCACACACTCCAGTTCTTCTCCTCCGACTGTCCCATTCACATCCCTAGGCCACTCCCTGGCATCCTGTGTTCATGTGAACTTTACCTTGCATTTGCCAGTCTCATATCTGAACTGCCATTTCATAGAGCCTTCCATGTGGATAATATGCTGAATTCTAAATACCAATCTGGCACCAAACACAGAGCTGAATTAAATCACCAATTCCCCATCTCATCTGGCATATCATTTTCCTTCATCAAGGTGCTCACATCTGATAAGGAGTATTCTGTTTTACTTGCTCTAGCTGTGCCTCTGGTGCTGTGCCAGACTCTTATGGTGGGAATTAAATGGTGTCCTTATCTCAACAGTGACAAGGCTAACACAGAGGTTGCTAATTGCAGGTGGGGGTGGGATTAGCAGAAGGCAGTATGACTGAGCAAAGTATGCAAGAAACTCACCAGTAATGGTGTAAACAGCAGTAATAGCCAAGAGGATGAAGATTGCCAGGTAAAGGTCCAATCCCAACGCCAGCTTGATGAATATGGCTCCAGAATACATGTTTGACTAAAAAGGGAACAGTCAGGATGAGGAAAATATGTATTTCCGGCCACTGGTTTCTTTGCTGCAATGTTCACTGTTCCCCTTCCTCCCACTATTTCTTTTCCTGGTAGAGTCCTACTTATCCCTGAAAACTTCACTTACAAGAATACTTTTCATAAAGCCTCAAAAAAAAATTTTGTGGCTTAAACTTATAAACTTAAACTTTATTTCAGAAGAGGGTGCAGTTTAAATGCCAAGAGAGGAAAAATACAAAGAACATAAAAATTGCTAAATACATCTGAACATAATAATTTGTACAGTGTGAGAATAATTCTATGTAAGTTAACAACTGAATATAACCCTGCCAGTGTGTGTGAAGTGCAGTTGTCTAGGAGGAAGTCTTGTATAGCATTTTTCTTGTACAGAACTACAAATAAATATTTGAAACTATATTGAAGTAAACCTGATTTTCTTTGAATCACATAAAAATATTAAGTATTAATCTTGTACTTTTGATGATCTGCAGGTTTTTTGAAGTCACTTTTGAAAGCACAGAGCCACAAACACTTTCATGACCTAGGTGAAACATAGTTAGGTAGAAATATGTGATACTTTCCTAAGTAATGTATCACAAGAATGGAAAACCAAGCACCCAATGCACTCAATATTAATACGAAACTACTAGATAAACAAAAACATACCCACATGAGAGAAAAATACATTTAAACTCAAAAATGGGAGTGGAGGAGGCAGTATAGTAAGCTCTCATCTCTCAGGTACAATGTAGAGATAATGGCATACCTAACAAATGCAAACAATGTAACCCAATTTTATGCATCCTTATATTAATCTGAAATAAAAGAAAAACCAAATAAAACCATTGTGCTTGGCTTCTTAGTATAAGACATAACATTTAATTTAATGGAGCATGTACTTATGTGGATTTGCTGGCAGTTCAGGCATAAAGTGAGAGTTCTATATTACTCTCTAATATCAAGTAATATATGGGCAATTACTAAAGGCCCTTCCACATTTACTGCATTTTTAAGGTTTTTCTCATGTATGAAAATTCTCTCCTGTACAATAAGATAAGAGCACCAAGAAAAGGCCTTGGGACATTTTTTACATTTGTTGAGTTTCTCTCCAGTATGCACTCTCTTGTGTTTAGTGCATTCTTCCCAGTTGTAGAGTTTTTCTCTGGTATGTATCACTTTATGTTTAGAAAATTCTGAGCTATACTTAAAGACACTGCCACATTCTCCACATTTATAGAATTTCTCTCCAGTATGAACTTTTTTGTGTATACTAAGATGTAATTAAAACTGAATGCCCCACCACATTCATCACATTTGAGGGTTTCTATCCAATATTAACTCTCTAATGGTTAGTAATGACTGAATGTTCATTAAAAGCTTTGCCATGTTATTCACATTTGTAAAGTTTTTCTCTAGTATGCATTCTCTTGTGATTAGAAAGACTTAATCTTTGATTGAAGCCTTTGCCACATTCTTCACAGTTGTAAACTTTCTCTTTAGCATGAATTCTTTTATGATTAGAAAGACTTAATCTTTGATTGAAGACTTTGCCACATTCTTCACAGTTGTAAACTTTCTCTTCAGTATGAATTCTTTTATGATAAGAAAGGCTTGAGAAATATTTAAAGACTTTGCCACAATCTCCACATTTCTAGAGTTTCTCTTCAGTATGCACTACCTTATGTTCATTGAAGTGTGAGTACTATTTAAAGGGTTTGCCACATTCTTTACACTTGTAGAGTTTCTCTCCGGTATGAACTCTTTTATCCACACTAAGGCCTGAGAACTGGTTAAATGCCTTGCCACATTCCTCACAATTATAGTGTTTTTCTCCAGTATGAATTTTCTTATGTATTAAGAAGTTTGAGCACACAGTAAAGGCTTTGCCAAATTCTTCACATTTGTAGGGTTTTTTGGCAGCATGAATTCTCGTGATAAGAAAGGCTCGATTTGTAATTTAATTCTTTGCCACATTCTTCACATTTGTAGGGTTTTTCTCCAGTATGAATTCTCTTATGATTAGAAAGGCTTGTCTGTGGTTAAATGTTTTGCCACATTCTTCAAATTTGTAAGATTTCTCTCCAGGATGAACCTTCTTATGATTAGAAAGAAGTGCACTACAGCTAAATGCTATATCACATTCTTCACATTTGTAATATTGCTCTTCTGTATACATTCTCATATGTTCAGTAAAGAGTGAGCATTGGTTAAAGGCTTTTTTACATTCTTTAAATTTGTAACATTTCTCTAAAGTATGTCTTCTATAATAGTCAGATTTGACAGTTTCCTAATGACTTTCAAATACTTACTACATTGGGAAATTTTGCTATGGGTAGATGTTGGACATTCATTAAATTTACTAAAACACATTTTCTTCCCCCTTACACTCACATTTTCTGCCCCTCACCCTTTTCCAGTGTTTACTTAAGTTTGAATTCTCAAGGCCGCTTCTTCCATAACTATTTAGTATCACTTTTTGGAATGAACCTTTTGTGATCTGCTCTGGCAAATGGTCTTAAATGTAGTAAGAAGACATAGCTGGGTGCTTAACTACTGTCTTGTGTCTCCTCAACTTCCAGGATTCTTTGCTTTGTTCCAGACAGGTGATGAGGTCTGTATTAGAGACAGCAAGACCCACAGAGATCAGATGTCTATAGTTCTCTAACATCACAGCTCTATATGAATTCTCTCTGAGCAGGGTCCAGGCATTTCCACTCATCCAGAGAGAATTCTATGGACACATCCCTGATTGTCAACAGTCCCATTTCCCAGCTTCAAGGGTGTTCCAGCATCCTCCCTCTGGATCTTCCAATACCTGAAGATCACAGGGTGACAGAAACTGCAGCAGAGTCCAAAGTCTCAGAAATTTTTGATCACTCTTCTGTATCCTCGTAGAAGCTAGTTCATTGCTCAGTTGAGGTACTTACTAAATGAAGTATCCAATGTGTTCACACTATCCAATGAAATGCACAGAATCAGTGTGATTCCTATCAAAATACCAATGGCATTTTGCATGGAAATAGAAAAAAATCCAAGAAAGATACCAGGATTGGAGTTAAAATGGCAGCCGAGTAACAGCTTCTGTGCAGCCGAGTGCAGTGAGAGTGGGAAGAGAAGACTACAGGCATCTCTGGCCAGTCGGTTTTGCCCAGAGGCTTCCCTTTGGTGACACAGGAAGGCAGCAAGAGAATTCTGGACCCCATAAGGAGGACAGAAGTGGTGGAAAACTGGCAAGTAGTAGGTGCATTTGTTCAGTTGGAGGCTGCCATAGCAACAGCAAGACTGCAAACAGGAAAAGCCTTACTGGTGGGCTGTTTGGGGTTTGGACTTGGGCACTTGATTGAACTGCCTTGGGAGATCTTGGGCCAGAATGCAAATGATTTGGGGCATTGTCTGGAGCCCTGGGATGAGCCACTGAGCCAGAAAGGAGCTAATATCATTCAGCTGTGGGCTGCTCACACAGCTTCTGTGGGGGAGCTGCCCCTAAGTGTTGCAGCACGGGGATCGTCCAGGAGACCTTGGGTGAGTAATCTAGTAACTGAGCTACCCAAATGTGGGAACTGAGATGCTGGGGAAGTGAGGAGATCCAAGTGTTTGGCAGATTAACAGCCTTGGCCCTCCAGGGCATAGAGGGAGACTGGATTTGGTACACTGTATAAGCAGGCAGCCATGCCAGGAAAGATCCCACGGATAAGTGCCTTCCATGGAAAGCTTCTGCTCAGCCAAGGTTCATAGTTTGGAGTGTCTTTTAAATGGGCTGAGGAGACTTTTGGGCTCTCAAACCTGTGGGGTCTGAGAGATCAGCAGAGGCCTCCAGTCTCCATCTCATACAGCTGTAGCCACACTGTGATTAACATCTCATACTCAGAAGATCACCTGTTACCCGGACAATATTCAGCAAGATATATATACTGTTTGGTTTTTTGGTATGAGGGGTTTTGTGTTGGGGGGGTATTTTTTCTTAATTCCAACAGTTTTCCTTGACATTTTTCTTTCTTTTTCTTTTTTTTTCTCTTTTTTTTTTCACTATTCTAGTTTAAATACAATCTCCCATTTTTGCCTTCTTTAACAATTAGAATTTCATTTTGCCAATGTTTCTTCCCCTATTATTTGGTTTTTTCCCTCCAATTTTATCCCATAAGGGTTTTTGCTTGTTTGTTTCAGTTTGATTCATAGTATTTTTGTCTTTCGTCTCTACCTGGTGGTGGTGGGGTACTGTGTCTGATCTGGCTGGCAAAGAGCTGTTGACCTCAAGGGAATCACTCAACCCAGCCCCCCCCCCAGAGGTTGGGAGCCTTTACGGTTGGGTCATAGTACCCTGCTATACACCTATATTGCTCCTGTTTCTTTATTTCAGTGCCTTTCTTCTTTTTGTCAATATTTCCTTTTATTCACCCCCTCTTCTTTCTCTTTTTTCTTTCTTTTTCAAATCTTTTTTCCCTTCTTGCTCTTCAATCTTCTCATCCTTCAATGAAAAGGACTCATTAAAACTTTAGGCCAGCAGCACAGTAATGTAAAGAGCAAGAAGAAGTGAAAAGAAAATTAGAGTAAGGAAACAGATACAAGAAAGCACTAATGAAGAAGAATCAGCAGAAAAATCTGGGCAACATGAAATACCAGTCCAGAGTAACCACTTCTAGGGATGATGAGGCAGCTACAGCAGAGGATTCCTCCTATAAAGAAATGCTACCACACTTATCAGTTATCTCAATAACTGTCAATGGCTTGAATTCCCCATTGAAGAGGCATGGACTGGCTGATTGGATTTAAAAACATAAGCCATCTATTTGCTGTCTGCAGGAAACACACCTCACATCAAAAGACAAATTGAAACTCAGAGTTGAAGGCTGGAGGTCAATTTTTCAGGCAAATGGAATTCAGAAGAAAAGAGGGGTTGCAATCTTGTTTTCAGATACACATAGATTTAAAGCAACTAAAGTCAAAAAAGGCAATAATGATCATTTCATCTTGGTCAAGGGAAAAATTCAA